TTTTTTTTTTAAGAGTGTACATGTATTTTGTAGCTTATTGTGAATATAAACCATCAGTTTTGGACACTGCAAAGCTAAACTGCACCTGATTTCCGTGTTTGGAAACAAATGTTGTAAATCAGGGGTTGTTTTAAGCTAGAGAAATGCATCAAATCTGCACACGAGTGAAAGAAAATTTGCACAAAAGGCTGTAAACATGTAAATGAATATGTAATACATATCTCATTAAATGACAAAATTCCTAAGTTGTATTGTGTTGTCTAATTAGTATTTTTATTTTTTACTTTTTGGACGGATTCCCAGAGTAAATGAGTGAATGTAGCCTATAAGTCATATTATTATTAGGCTAGTATTAATATCAGTATTATTATTACTATTAAAAAACATGGTTTAATTATTATTTAAAGACGTTTTAATTAATACAAAGGAATGAATTATAAAAAAAGTGATACATTTCTTAATTCATGGAAAATGTTCGGCATGTCATGGGCTCTGTATAAAAACAAAAAAAAGGACAGCTAACGCATAAGTATACTTGACCTGCTGAAATGCATCAGCGAGTTATTAAATGTAAGTTTCAAACCTTTCATTTGTGACATTAATGCAACAATAGTGCCAAAATGTATTTTTATGGCATAATGCACACTTCTTTAAATGTAGAATCTAAACATTGAAAGTTAATACTGGCTGGTGCTGTACAGTAAAAAGTAAGCACACTTCAAGCACTGCCGTCACTGCAATATTTTAATGTAACGGTGGTCAAATAGCTGGAACATTCAGGCTATTATGAATAATTTGAGATTCAATGTTATAATGCTTTATTAGCATATAATTGTAAAATTACCACTGATTTATTTCATTATTGTTTATCTTTATTTACAAGTGAAAATGTCTATTTCAGTGTTATTGAGCAGTGGTGTCAACCGTCCATTTTCGCCACCTAGTGGTGATTTCACGAACGAGCTTCACTTAGGTTTTATTTGAACCCGTGTTCTTGAGGCAGAGGTACACGCAGAGATGATAAGCATTTTGCTTGTACCTACTGTATAAAAATTCAAACAAATAACAGATATAAACTTTCAAAATATATCATGCTTTCTGTAATTTCCTAATTGTGGAGTCATTCAAGTGCCACATAAGAAGCAATTCATAAATACTGTAAAAAATAATTAACCTGAGGTGAGCTCATTAAGTTGGGCTAAGATTGTGTGTATTGTCATCTTGTAACATATTTGATTTCAATTTATACTATTTACATATACTCATTTAGGAGATGCTTTAACCCAGTTACTCAAATACAAGATATTTCTATTTATTAACTGAAAGGATGTCAAATATCAAGGTAGCTTAGTCAAGTTACTGCTAAAATAATCCATTTGTGATATTTCTGTGAACTGCTGTAAATAAGCTGGTAAGAGGAGTATCATAACATACCATTAGTGGAAAACCCACTGTAGAAGCACTTAGTTGGATGAGAATATTCCATTTTTTCATCCCTTGAAATCTAAACCAAAACAAAGAAAATATGCAAATATTGTCAGAAAAACAAGTGATTGCTGTACTAGGCTACAACAACTCAGAAAATGTTGTTGTCAGCTTTCTGATCTCTTCTTTTACCTCATCAATGAATGCAACATCAAGCTCTTTGATCTCCTTGGTGTCCTTACTGTCTTGTATTAATACAGTAGCCTAGACAAAGCAGAATCAGTAGTTCAAGCTAATTTACAAAACATTCTAAGCAAATCAACTTACGTAAAACTAAACTACAAGTTTATTTACAAGTTGTATAGGTAAAATCTAAAAGTCAATAAAACTCAGAGGTCAACTGAAAATATCTAAAACACATTACTCTTGTTAACACTGTTATAATCAATGAACAAAAAAAAATCTCTTTATTTTATCTATTTTTAAGTATTTGCACCATGTGTACACTATGTTGACTATAATGCAAGCTTTCACAAGAGTGCAGAAAATGGCCTGGGCAATCACATTCATTCAGCGCGTTAAAAAAACGCTCTGATGCTCTCAGAGCATGTGGACATGTATTGTGAAGCTAGTTTTTGAATATCAGCAGCAGGTGATGTTTCTTCAGAAGTTGTTTTCATGTGCCTCCATGAATAAACATCTGTGGATCAGGCAGCTCTCTAAAAAAGACCTGGAAACGATTATTCTTGCATTTATAACATCAAGGCTAGACTATCATAATTCCTCTATTTGGATTTGCTTAAATCTGCTCTAAATGTGAGCACATTAGTCCTGTGCTTGCCTCTTTACTCTGGTTTAAAAAAAAATGTAAAAATTGAATAAAGTGCTTCATAAATAAATAAACTAACAGTCTAAAATCTCACTCATTAGGAATGCTTTGTCATTATTGATTGGTTTATGGACTCTAATTAGTCATTACATTTGTGTACTCAAAGCACTGTCTGTGACTGGTTACAATCAAAAAATATTTAGATAAAAACTTTCGATGTAGGCGTAGATCGAAACAGAATGCAGTAATCAACACATTTCATGATTAGATAATCTAGGACACATAACTGTAATCAAAATTACTTTTTAAATGAACTGTGCAGCAACTGTAGCTATTTATTCTGCCACAAATGTATATGTAATTTTACAATCACCTCCACCAGGTTGTGTCTCTGCAGTGCTGGTACTGTGTAGTGTTGTCTGACGTGTGTCTCACAGTAAGACGCAGTGCAGGTCAAACAGGATTTAACAGCTTTGAGCTTCATCTCAGTGCAGATATCACAGGGCACATCTTCAGGTCCAGCGTAGCAGTGAGCAGGAAGAGCAGGACTAAACCCTGCCTTCTGAAGTTCCTCAATCAGTTTAGACAAAGCCACATTTACATTCAACACAGGACGATCTCTGAACCTCTTTCTGCACTGAGGACACACGTAAGCTCCAGCTTGAGTTGGTTTGCTCCAGTAGATCTCAATGCAGTGTTTGCAGTAACTGTGTCCACAGGGCATGGAAACTGGATCCTTAAAGACTTCCGTGCACACTGGACACTTGTAGTGATCCTCTGTCAGCAGAGTGGCTGAAAGTGTGCTGTGGAAACATCTGTGGTTATTACACATTCAATAATCGTAAACAGTTCAGATTCAGTACGCGGTAAGGGCACTGCACTTTGGCATTTTTAAGACCTGGGACAGTCTTGCGCTCTTACTTCCTGTTGCGTGCACTAGGGGTGTGTAATAATGACAAAAAATTATATCTCAATATTTTCTGGAATTTTGTGGATAACGATAATTAGACGATATTTTGTTGAGCGTGTGTGCTGGTACTTTGGCAGGTTTAGGACTGTGGTGGACAGCTGAATCACAAAGG